AACTGCAAACAGCTGTGATAGGTGTGCGAAGGCTGTGGTTGATGAAGGAATGGGTCAGTACCCAGTAGGGTCAGCAGGGTAGCGTGCAGCAGCCCAGAGCTTGGCCAGTCTCAACCCCAAAACAGGCAGCCCAGCCTCACAATCTGGCCCTGAACAGTGACAGGATGCTCAAGATGGAGATTGGCCCATTAGCTGGATTGGACCTCCTGAAAGACCTCCATGGTCCACACTGCTCCGTGAGTCTGTGCTGGTCAGTGGCCCGTGTTTTGGCAGAAGACCATGTTGAAGTGTTCAGGCTGAACTACCACCGGAGACCAAGTGGAGGTCCTTGGCAAGTGAGACCACACGGATGTTCGTGGTCCATGCCATTGCCAGAGACCATTCAGAAGTCCAGGATCCAAGTTCCTGCTGACTGCAAAGGGCAAGGAAGCTACTCTTGCAGCAGTGCTGACAATTGCAGATGCGCAGGTGAGAAAGAGAAATGTAGAAGGCTTCTGTGACAACCCTTCCCCCCCCATTTACCCCCCAAACTATCACCTAAAAAGGAAGCCATCAAAGAGAACTCTTAAAAGGTGCACAGGGACACTGAAGTGCAGCTCTCCACAGCTGATGGCTTCTGGTGGGGGTGCAGGTGGGGGAAGGACTCAGCTTTCCCCAGGGGGCCGACCACTGGGAGTTTGAACATGCTCCAGTGAGACAACAGAAAATGGATTTTTCTTTCTTTCTTCATTTTATTTTTGTGGGGAGGACACAAGGGAAGGGGAATGGACATGGGAGGACTGGGAAGTGAGTATGATCAGGGTGCATGATGTGAAATTCCCAAATAATCAAAAAATATTATGTTTTTAAAAAGGAATATAACCAGGATGAAAATCATTAGAAATGTTTAAGAGAATTGTAACCAAATAAAATTGAATTTTTAAGGTAAAAAAATGAGGCCCATGTTCAAAAGGTAAAGAGAGAGGTGGAGATACAGAGGTCAGTGCTGGAGCATTTGCCTTGTATGTGTGGCTCTAGATCCAATCCCTACTACTACAAAAACAAACAAATAAATACTAAATAAACAACCTACCTTCTACCTTAAGACACTGGGGAAAGAACAAACAGCCAAAGCAAACAGAAAGAAGGATATAGGAACAAGAAGGCTGGAAACTAGAGAGAATTTATTTTTTTAATGAAAAAAAAAACAAAACAAAGAAAACCAATCATTAACTAATCAACAAAGAAAACAAACAAACAACACCCACCCACCCCTAAAAAGGAAGACTCAGTTCTGATTCTACTAATCAGGAAAGATAGTGGGATGTGAGCTAGGAAGCAAATGACTATACTCTGAGCACCCAGGAGGGAGAGGCAGAGGATCAGGACTTCAAGGTTACCTTCAGCTCACAGTAAGTTACAAGCCAGTTAACAGAGAGAGAGGCAGGCATAAAAAGAATACGGAGACCTTACTGCCAACCTTATAGAAATAAACGGGATAATAAGAAATAATAGTGTGTGTGTGTGTGTGTGTGTGTGTGTGTGTGTGTGTGTGTGTGTCACACACACCCAGGCAGTGGTGGTACATGGCTTTAATCCCAGCACTTGGGAGGCAAGTGAATTTCTGTGAGTTCAGGCCAGCCTGGTCTACAGAATGAGTTCCAGGATGGCTAGGACTGCGCAGAGAAATCCTGTCTTGAAACATGCCCCCCCACCCCACCCCCGCCAAAAAAAAAGTAGCTACAATGAAATAACATATATAAGGGGTATATTAAGAAATGACAATTTAGAAGAAATAGACAAATTTTTTGAAACAGACTAAAGAAGAAACAGGGCTGCAGAGCTGGAGAGATGGTTGGGCAGTGAAGAGCACTGGCTGCTCTTTCAGAGGACCTGGGTTCAATTCCCAGCACCCACATGGCAGCTCACAACCAGGGCCTCCAAAGGCACCAGGCATGCACATGGTGCACAGACATACACGCAGATGAAAATCCCAAACACATAAAATAAAAATAAAGAAATAGGTATTTTAAAAACTTATAACAGGCTGGGCGTCGGTGGCCTACGCCTTTAATCCCAGCACTCGGGTAGCAGAGGCAGGCAGATCTCTGTGAGTTCGAGGCCAGCCTGGACTACAGAGTGAGTTCCAGGACAGGCTCTAAACATGAGAAAACTTGTCTCAAAAAAATAAAACAAAACACAAAAACCAAAACAAACAAACAAACAAACAAAAAAAAACCCTTATAACAATGAGTTGAGTTAGTAGTTTAAAAAAAAAAAAAAAAACTGCCCCAAAAGAAAAGCCCAACCCCATATTGCTGCTTCATTGGCACATTCTACCAAAAGTTAAAGAATTTAACATCTTTATCAGCTCTCCCCCCAAACAACAAAGAATACCAACAGATAAATGCATAAACTTCCAAACTTATTATGAGTCTTTGATATTAAAACTAGGAACATCACAAGAAAGTTACAGCCAATCAAATTATAGAGCATGCTGGCACAAGCCTCCTAATTCAATTGCTCAGGAGGTGAGGCAGGAGGACTGTAGGATTGAGGCCAGCTTCTGCTACATAATAACTGATACACCAGCCCAAGCTATACAGTAAGATCCTATCTTAAGAAAAAAATAAATAAAAGATAGCAAGTTGAATCAAGTAAAATTTATCTCAGGAATGCAGGTTGACTTAATATCAAATAAATAAATAAATAAATAGATAGATAGATAGATAGATAGATAGATAGATAAATGTGATACATTAAAAGAATAAACCAAAAATGTATACTCATTACAATAGGAAAAAAATTTACAAACTCTAGTGTCTTTTCACAGGTAAAGAATAAAACAATTCTCAACAAGCTAAGAACAGAAGAAAAATTAACTTAATAAAGACTTCTATGAAAAGATCCTGAGCTAACAACATACTTTGTGGTAAAATACTGTATCTGTGTTCTCAGTAAGATCAACAGTAAGACAAGGATGTCTACTTCCACCACTTCTGTTAACACTCTACTGGATGGCACAGTTAGACAAAGAAAACTAAGGGGCTGGCAAGGTGGCGAAGTGGTTAAGGGTTCAGTTCCAGGCACCCATGGCAGATAGCTCATGACCTCACAGCCGCTGAGGTGGCTGCACAAGACATTCACAATCTTACCCCAACTTTTTCTTAAAGTTTATTTAATTTATCGTGTCATTTGTGGCTTGTAGGTATGAGGGCAGGCAGACATGAGCCATGTCATACGCATGGAAGCCAAAGGACAACCATCAGAAGTTAGAACTCCTTCCGCTGAGGGATTGGAGGGCCGAGCTTGGGTCTTCAGTCTTACACAGCAAGTACTTTCACACTCTGAGCCATCTCACCCACCCCCAATCCTAACAGAATCCCGGAGGAGAGTATAAAACCAGTTCTTCTAAGCATATGTGAGCATGTAAGAATTGTAAATCAAGACACCACATACTCTCCTCCTATTTGATCAGTTGTGGTGTTTTGAATGAGAAGGTCCCCCATAGGTTCATACATTTGAATATTTGGTCCCCAGTTGGTGGAACTGTTCGGGAATGACTAGGAAGTGAGCCTTGATGGAGATGTGTCACTGGGGACTGGCTTCTAAGGGGCTTACCCGATACCCAGTGCTCTCTCCCTCTCTGCCTCATACTCTCAGATCAAGATGGAAGCTCTCAGTGGTTCTTGCTGCCAGGATTCCATCATCATGGACTCCAAGCCCTGAAACTGTGCCTTATCACAGCAACAGAAATATAACTAAGACACTAGTCTATTCTCACGAACCAGAAGTCTATCATCATTCAAGCTTCACAGCTTCCTGAGATGCCACACCTGACAGCCAGTGCAATATAACAACCTGCCTAAGTCTTCAGCCCGTTCTTCATGTCTCTATCTCCCATTGTGATCAGCCACACCTGTCCCAGCCCCCATGCCCAAGCTCTGGCTGCATGCCCTCTAACCAGCCATCTCTTAACCACCTCAAATCCAGCAGCACCACAGATAGCAGGCTCAGGAGAGGGCCTCACAGAGGCCCTGGAAGCGAGTGTGAGATCATTCTGTTAGGGAATACTAGGGGTTCAGACACCAGTGGCCAAAGGACGTATGCTTGGGAGATGCAGGGGTCAATACAATCAAAATACATGGTATGTATTATGACATTATCGAAGAATTTTAAGAGTTACATTTTAAAAAGAAGGTATGCTTGTCATTGGCCTGATAGACTTCTCCTTCCATGAGAAACATTAGGTAGAAAAACAAAACAAAGCTACAGTAGGTCTTTCTAAAGTAGGTGATCTAACCCAATCAAGAGCCTTTCTTTTTTATTAATTTTTATTTGCCAAGGGCCTTTCTTAACAATGCCCTAGGTACTTTGAACTTACAGTTTTGCTATATTATATTCCCTTTATGCAATTTTGAAATTTTACAAGTTAAAAAATATCAGGTTTTTTTTTTTTTTTTTTTTTTTTTTTTTTTGGTTTTTTGAGACAGGGTTTCACTGTATTGTTTTGGAACCTGTCCTAGAACTAGCTCTGTAGATCAGGCTGGCCTCAAACTCACAGAAATCTGCCTGCCTCTGCCTCCTGAGTGCTGGGATTAAAGGCCTGCACTACCAACACCCGGCTCCAGGTTTTTGTTTTTGTTTTGTTTTGTTTCTCTCCCCCCCCCCTCTCTCTTTTAATAGTAAAAGTATTTTTTTTAAAGGACTAAACACAATGGGAAAAAAATACACCCAAAAACCATGTTAGAAGACTCCTGAGACTTTGGGATTCTGGGTCTTTGTGAACACTGACATTTCCATGAAGACTAGATTTCTTAGAAACTAGAAAACTAATGTCTTCAGAGTTGGAATGAATTCTAAGAAAAAAGAAAGAAAAAAGGAGTTGGGTGTCCAAATTACAAGAGACTAGATCATACTGAGAAAATACAACTTATGGACCTTGTTTGAATTTTAATATGATATGTCAAAAATACACACACACACACCCCTTAATAAGACATGGAAATTTGAATATGCTTGGATATGTGAAGTCAAGCAGTCAGTATTCATTCTGTGGGATTAAATAGTTTTTAGATTTTAGTGCTTTTCTTTTAGAGATACACACTGAGTTATGTGTAGATAAGATGAACTTTAAGGAGGGAGGACCACACAGTGATTGCCACTTGATAACGGTGAAGACCCCATCACCAAAGGAAGCCATCTCCAGGGAATGAGAGGAGCAGTTAGGGATAGTGTAGAGGTTCCCATAGCTGAATGCAACTTCCTACCACTACAAAGATTTCAGAAGAGAGATAAAGGAGACCCAGAAAATAGACACAAAGAACTGCTACCTCCTGAAGGGATTGTGTTTAATCATGGAAATACTCTGCCCTGGAAAAGTTTCCTATATTTGGCAGGGTTGAGGCTTTTTCTCACTCATTTTGGAGGTAAGAAGCAAATGAAAGCAGGGCTTTAATCCCTGGTCCTGCTGGAGGAATCCAGAGAACAAAAGTATCCCTTTTCTATCCAACATCCAAGGTCATTGTCCTCCGGATACCAAGAACTGCTCTGGCTAAGGCTGCCCTGTGTGACATTTCTAGCCTAAGCATCCAGAGACACCTCACTCTGTGTCCTAGAAAGAGGTTTCTCCTCATCTTCCTCAACACTGGCCTGAAGAATCCTCAGCAGTTTCAGCTCAGGGTTCCATCTGGTTGTGTCCATACTTCCAGAAATACTCCTGGGGCTACTTTCTTGGCTGTAAGTCGTCATTCCCAACATTGTCTCATCCACATCACTTGAGTCCTCGTAAGTTGGCTCATATAATAGAGGACCTAAAAGAAGACCCAACCATTAATAGCATGGCAGATTTTTCCCAAATAAACATGACAAGAGGCATTTTAGAAGAGACTGGCTCTCTTTTGAACCTCTCCAAAGCATAGGGCTGTGCTCACACACACACCCATCCACCCCCAACCCCCTCCCCAGAAAGTCAGCATACTGGCTAGCACAGGGTCAGCTCTCCCCATTCACAAACACTTAGTAAGATTCTTCCCACTTACTCTCTGGACTGGTGGAGTAGTCTGTGTAGTAATTGTCGAAGTCATATAGGACTGAGTCATCGGTGGAAACCTAAAACACATTGGGGTAAGCAGAAAAAACATGAGTCTATACCGTAGCAAACTAAAAAAACCTTCTAAAAGACACTCTTCTTGGGGAAATTAACATCCAAGACAAAATAAAAGAAAGAAAGCCTACATCACACATCCTTTGCTTTTCAGGTCACCCAGATGAAGCCAGGACCCACTTCTCCCCATTTCCAGAAATCAATCAAGGGGAGCCTGCCTCCAGAGATGGATGCCCCCAACTGCCATGGCTCTCATCAAGAGATGTGGTCTCTTTTCACTCCTGGGAATTTGAGTGAAATGGTGGCTTTTTTAGCCAATAAATGGTACAAGAAGTGACACTGTTTTAGCTCTAAGTTCATAACTTAAGGAGTGACTAGAAAAATAATAATTAAAACAAAACAAAAACAAAAAGTTGAGAGATGGCTCAGCAGTTAGGAGCAAATGTTGCTCTCGCAGTGTTTAGTTCCCAAGTTAACTACCCACAATTCCAATTCCAGTTCCTGGTGATCTGATGCCCTCTTATGGTCACTTCAGGCACTGCAAATACATAATACACTTCTCTCCCTCTCTATCAAGCAGTAACATACACATAAAATAAATGCATTCTTTAAAAGATAGAAAGTGTCTATTCTGTCAATAAGCACCAGTAAATCACATATGGAGGAACCATAGACAAGAACATAGGCAACTTGGCTAATAGCCCCTTCCAGTGGCACTGAATGATCTCAAGTAGGAGAAGAATGACTGTCCAGTCAACCCAGACTTATTAGAAACAACACATCATGGGCTAGGCATGGTAGCATGAGCTGTGATCATAATCCTCTGGAGGTTGAAGCACAAAGATCAAGTCTCAAGTCATCCTGGGCTACATAGCAAGTTCTAGGCTAGCCTAGGCTACATAACAAGATCCCATCTCAAAAAAAAAAAAAAAAAAAAAAAAAACACCTAACTGAATAGATCTCAGCTTGTACTTTGGGGTAGTTTACTACACAGTAAGAGATTATGGAAACTGGGCCCCAGCAGAGACCTTATGTACACTCACATGTTTCTCGATGGCTTTTTTCTCCTCCTCTTCCTGCTCCTCCAGCTTTTGCTTACTTTCCTGTTCTGATGGTCTTCTGTGACCTAGTAACACAAAGTAGGTTCAATCCTCTTCTTACTGGAATTTCGGGTACCATTGTTGGGCTTCCAGTTGACCCCTTGAGGAACCCCCTATTCAGAACAAGATAAGGCCTTGGTGGCAGATGAAAGCCTTCTGAATTCCATTTTGCCAAGGAGTATTATTTATGAGTCTCCACGTAATGTTTCAAAATAGGCACACCCCATGTAAAGCCTTCTGAAACCTGTTTTGAGCTGTTCACCTAGGTTGTAACCACTTCTGCTAGAGACTAGAAGTGATAGTAGAGCCCATGCTAAGAGACCCAATGCTAGGCAGTGGGAGGCACACAGCACTCAGGAGGCAGAGGCAGGTGGATCTCTATGAGTTCCAGGCCAGCCTGATCTACAGAGTGAGTTCCAAGACAGCTGGGACTACACAGTGAGACCCTGTCTCAACAACAGCAGGAAGAGGGCTGCAGGCATGGCTCAGTGGTTAAGAGGACCGGCTGCTCTTCCAGAGGACCAGGGTTCACATACACACTGAAGCTTACAACCATCAGAAACTCTAGTCCCAGAGGATCCCATGCCTTCTTCTGGCTTCCCAGGGCACCACAGATACACATGCAAAACACCCATAAACATAAAATAAAATGTAAATATAAAAAGAGAGCCCCAGGTCCCTTTGAGGTCATTGCTGGAGAGGCAGGGACCAAGCGAAGCCCAATCCCTTATGACTTCTGACTGAAGCAAGAACCATAAAATGCATTTCAGTGTACCTTTGCACACTCAGGGGAATGTCATGTCTTCCCCTCTTTCCAAAGACCTGAGACCAAAGTGTAATGTTCAATCTAAGCCCACTAAAGGACAATAAAGCAGTCCATGTTTTCAGGAAGAAATGTGTCCTCTATGTTGAATAAGAGGAGCAGATAAAAGCTAATGACACAACTGTCCATGTGGGCACTCACCCCAGGAAGGTATCATCACCAGGCTAAAGCTGATCAAAGATAGCAAAAAAAAAAAAAAAATCGAAAACAAAAAGCCAAGTCTCATCATGTAAGAAGGAAAGAGCAAGTTGAAAAATGCAGGACAGGAAGCAATAGTATATGTAACTTGCATTCAAAACTGGTCAATAAAAGAGACAGACAGAGACAGAGCAACCCAGAATTCCTCAAAGAGGTGCAAAGTGGATCCCCCCAACAGACCCATGGTAGTTTCTGGATATAAGTCTTAGGGTGTTTCCTTTACACCCACTGTCTTGCCACCCACACCCTGAATGCACCCATCCTCTCTTTCTCAGCTTTCTCTAGACAAACAGCTTCCGCGTATTCTGCTAAAATAGAGCACTTCTGTTGCCCTCGTGAGCGAGCACTGGTTCCCTCGCCCAAGCTTCATACGAACAACACTAGTTTAACAGGCTCTGGTCCCTGATTCCATAAATTCTGATCTAAAATACTCAGGGTTAAGTTTTAAAAGTTTCTCTGTTGGCTTCAGTGTGCAGTCAGGATGGACCTTACTGGGCTGGAACATAAAGGGCAAACAAACATAGGTGCAGAGAATCTATGTAGGCCCCTCTATGCTCTCCCTTAAACCCTCCCAACTACCCTAAGCTGCTACACTAAGCAAGATGCCTCTTCACAGGCTACTCGCAATTCCAGGAACCCCTCACATGTTCGAGATCCAATTCACCAATCACCTTTTCTGTAAAGCCCATCTCAACTCAGGAAGGACAGGCCACTGCTCTGAGACCATAACTCAGAGAGGCACAACAGTCACCCAAACAAAACAGCTCTTATTGGGAACATCAGGAAGAGGCACAGAAGGTACCAGAAGAGAATCGTGGGAGTGATCATCCTGATCATCCTGGATATGAACTCACCTGGGACAAACCTCCTCCTACCCTGGGTCTCAGCCTCTTCTACAACCTACGTGAAGTTGCAACCCTTTGTAGACCTTCAGGCTAATGCATAGTGCCAAAACCAGAGAGCAGTGGATGTGAGGCAAAGCAAGAAGACAGCATCCTTCTCAGAGACATCTCACCTGAGCCCTCTCAGGACCCCAGATTCCAGAGGGAATTCTGAGGATTTGGTTGTTTGCAGAGTACAGCCAGCAATACACAGTCTGAGCAAGGCAGAACAATCTTACAAGATTCTGGAAGAGTCTTCCTTGACCTTTCCTACTTTGCATTCAGCTCAGAAATATCAGCCAGACAGCCTTCCATGTATCTCTCAATTGTATGAGATCAGAGCTCCAAAAAGAGAGGCACTATATTCTGGGTTTCAACATGAACACCAGTCAAAAAAAGCTGCCTGTTGAGTACTGCTACTGTTGACACAATGTGTGACTGCCCACTAAGCCCCTGAACTCTTCAGCTTTTGGTGGAGGAGCCAGAGGGCTCTTGAGAGACAGGATCTGTCTAAGTAACCCTCAAACTTCCAACCATCCCACCTCAGCCTGTGATGTACTGGTAGAGACATGTATCACTACACCTGCTTCTCACTCTGAGCTTTTTAAAGCAAGACCTCAAGAAAACACAACTATGAATCAGTCATCTCTCAAATGCCCATAAGAAGCAACCAGACTTATAGCCTAACCTGCTTGTTCAGTAACTATTTAGTTCAAGGATGACTTCAGGGTAGACCAGACAGACAGACTGAGCATTTTCAGAACAATTGTGAATGCCTGACAAAGGCACTTTCTAAAAAGACAAGAGCATGTTTGACTGCTGCCCTTAGCTACATCCTAGGATGCCATCACTTGACTAACCATGTGTGTGTGTGGGGGAGGGGGTGCACGTGTATGTGCGTGTGAGTGTGTTACACATGTTGACTTATACATACTGTACTGGTCCTGCACATCACTCTTGGCTTTCTTCTTAGTCTCCTGAAACCAACATAAGAAGGAACTGAATTAGGGCTTATGAAAACAAAGAAAGCTTTTACAAAAAGAAAGAACTTAAAATGACAGCCAGATAGTGATGTCATATCCACAACCGACAGGGGGATACCCTCTTCTCAGCTACCCCTTCCCAGCTCTTGCTGCACCCACACCCAAGAGGTTTTCCTCGCTACAATACCTGTTTCTTAGTAGAAATTTTCACCTTCCTCTGTGGCTGCTTCCTGAAACCTGGTAATCAGAGAGGCCAGTTCATGCTCTCCTCCACTGAGAGCCCACACCTTCTGCTAGGCTACCTACTGTGACCTGCCCCACTATGGTGACTCTCCTCCCCTGGACAGGACCAAGCAAGAAGCTGCTCTGAAACTGGAGTCTCCTGAGTTCTCCACGTAACTCTATGTGACTGTGGCAAGGAATACAACTGAACGGGGACCATGAGAGAACTGTGCGGTTGCAGAGGGGAGGATGGTACCTGAAGGTTCAGGCCCAGAAGGTGTCTTCAGGCTGTACTGCAGCTTCCGCAGATGTTCAGGGTACCGCAATGATGGTCTCTGCCAGAACAAAAAGCTCTTGTGTGGGTCTTTCGTTACCCCAAACGCATGCATTCACCTAGTCTATAAACACGGTTTGAGAAGCAGGTGTTTGGCAGTGGCTTGTACCAAGGTCCAAGCAAGAAGGCAAAGGAGTTGCAACCTGAGTCCAGAAAACCCAGAAGTGTTGCTCCCCATGCCCCTTTCCCTATATTAGCTTTCACATCCACACAATCCACAGTGGCACAGCAGAATGAAGAATGGACAGATAACCAATTCTTCCTGTCTGGAAGACAGATGGACTTGACCTCCTTATAGGCCTTCTTTGAGACACTGTGATTCTTACTTGCAGGGTGAGGCGGTGTACAGTTAGATACATCTTAGACGAGATAGCACTGTCGGGTCGGGTTTTTTCCAGGGGAAGATTCTGCCTCATCTTGGCCAACTCTATCTTCACCTCAGGACAAGTCATGGTTTTCTCATGTGCCAAAATGCTAAAGAGGACAGAGACACCCAGACGTCAGTGACTTTCCAGTCAGCTCTTCCAAGAGAGTAGGGCTCAAGACAAAGAAGAAAGGGGCCCAAATCTAGAGACATTTCCACTTTAGCTCTGGAAAGGCTTGCTTGGGCCTCCCTCGTTAATACCCTTCCCAACCAACTACAATGACCACAACTGAGTCTATTAACCATTAACTCTAACCCAGACTCCTATGCTTTAGACCACTAACTCCTTATAGTACCCCAAGGACAGATATTATCATCCTCCTTGTTTTGCAGATAAGGAAAACTAGGATTAAATGAGCTAAGTAAGTTACCAATAATTCACAAAGCCTGTTAAGTTTCAATATGCAATTCAAAGGTTGTCACACTGCAAACCACATACACTGTTCTGCCTCCCAAGTGGACAAATGTCCATAATAAATCTATGGGAGAGAAAAGGGAGAACAGGAGTTCAAATGAGAATCAACACAATATGCTTAGCTGGTCAGTGCTTGATGAATGGTGGCAGTGATGACTGTCACCTGCCTGTTAATAATCCAAACAAGTGGAATCACAGCTTGCTCCCTGTCACCCTTTTCAATTTCAGTAAAGGTTCTGGCTTTCCCCACTGACTCCATGATACTCACCACTCCTTCAGGAGATCCTGGGGAAGCATGCCAACTTGGGTCCATAAAGGTATGCCTTCAGAATTTAACTGTCCAAATAAGTGCACTGGGGAAGGAGGAGGCACAATCACCCCTGGACTTGTCGAGTGTGTCACTGCATACTGCCTTCCAGAGAAATATAGAGATGGCTTGGTTTTCTGGAAGAAAAACAATGCAAGGGACTGATGGGAGATGTCATTCTGTAAATATGTTTCTCTTACTGGTTAATAAATAAAGCCCTGTTGGCCTACAGGGAAGCAAGATAGGCAGGACTAGGAGACAAGGAGGATTCTGGGAGATGTAGTAGAGAGGAGTCAAGATGTAGGACACAAGAGGGGTAAAAGGTCCGGACCTTCTCTCCAGTAAGGTAAGACCATGAGGAAATACTTAGATTGACAGAAATGAGTTAATATTTAAGACAGAGCTAGCCAATAAGAAACACTAGTAATAGGCCAACGGTTTCATAACTAATACAGTGTCTCCGTGTTACTTGGGGCTGATGCAGCTCTGGGATCAGGCTGGTAGGAAAGTGCTCAAAACAAGGGACTCTGAAGCACTTTCATCAAGTCTGTTTCTTCCCACCAATATTCCACCCTGAGGAATGAAGCTCCTTGTTTCCAGACTGTGAGCCAATTTGATTGAATTAAAAAAAACAAAAACAAAAAACAAAAAAACAACAAAAAAGCAAAAGCACTGAGGTGAGATGCAGATAAAATATAAAATTAAAAACAAAAACAAAACACTGAGGGCAGCCAGTGACCAGGCTCAGTGGGTAAAAACACTTGCTGCACAATCTGGAACCCATGATGGAAGGCGATAATCAATTCTCAAGAGTTATCCTTTGATCTCTACACCCATACTATGGTACATACACACACACACACACACACACACCAACTACTACTAAAAATGTTAAAGAGATTAGCAAAGCACCCTCTGGGTGTGTCTTTAAGGACTCCAGAAATAATCAGACCATGAGGCCACTGACATAATGAGTGGATTAATCTCTTGATGGGTTCCTAATATGACGACATAACTGGGACACAGTAAAGGGTTAGGCTGGCAAGGCAACTGGAGACTTGGTCCTAGAGACTACATCTCTCCGCCTCTTCCTGTACTCCTCTTTGTATCCAGTCTTCCAAGAATAGAATAGCCTCTGCCACATACTCCTACCATCCCAACATTCTGCCCAGGCACCTGAGGCCAAGTAACTATGTGGTGTGAACCCTCTAAAACTTGAGCTAGCATAAATCTTTCCACCTGTGAAGTTACTCTCTCAGGTATTTTGGTGACAGCAGTAACAACAAAAAATAACACATAGACCTACTTCAACTTTCCCTACCCCCTCTTCTCCATGAAGGAAACTCAGTTTCTCCCTTTTTGGGCTTCTAATATGCTGTTCCAGTGAGATCAACCCAGCATTAATTTGCTTTTCTGGAGAGGCCATTCACTTATCCACTGAACAAACAATTACCATCCAATTAGGTGCCAGACAGAAAGTGAGAGTTGGTCAAGGAAGGAAATGGAGTAGGAACTACTTCCAGAGATACTAGATCACATTTACCAGAAATGCAGCCCAGATCTGAATAATTCCTACTCCACTGGAAACTATCCCATCACACTAGGGATTGCTTTTAACTGACAGAAGTCCCCTTGATAGCCACTACTTCCTTCTGTCCTCTCTTCAAAGTTTCTTACCTTCCTACAGATCATAGACAGGGGAAGGGGTCTGAAGATGTGTAGCTATTCCTAAAGAAGGGGTTTCATTTACAGATTTTGACCATAGATAAAAGGGATGAGACAGAGTGGGGAAAACCTAAAAGGAAAAACCATCAACCCTACAGAATCACTTCATAAGGAACTCACCTCTCTCAGTTTCTTTCTCTTCTTCCCAGGCCATCTGGAAAAAGCAGCCGTCTTTCCAACTGAGCTTGAAATAAGAAAAAACAGAACTCATTCCCAGACATTTTTTTTGTTTTGTTTTGTTTCTTGAGGCAGTGTTTCTCTGGAACTAGCTCTTGTAGATCAGGCTGGATCAAACTCAGGTCATCGGGCTTGGTGGAAAGTGCCCTTACCTGCTAAGTAATCTCATGGGCCCAGCATTTATTTCTGAAACCTTACAAACAAACCTTTGGGCAGCAAGATGGCTCAGCAGGTAGAGGTGGCTCAGCAGGTAAAGATTCCTGTCACCAAGACTGATGACCTGAGTTTGATCCCTGGAATCCACATGGTAAAAGGGAAGGAGAGAACTGACTACTGCAAGTTGTCCTCTGGTTTTTGTTAAGTCATCCTCTGACTTCTGCAAGGGCACCTCCAATTAATATTTTTATTTTTAAAAAAAATGAAAAGTCATGCCCCCAAGCCCAACTACTGCAGCAAGTTGTCTTCTGACCATTACACCCATGCTGTGGCACACACATGCACACATGTACAAATATAACAAATGTAAACAAGCTGGACTCTGTCTTATGTGCTCTTTATATCCATGTAGAATCTGAAGTAGAGAATTCCCACAACAGGCATCTCACAGTAACATTACAACAGAGCTCCGGTGTAGCAAGAGGCAGAAGCAAGCCTGCAGCTGCTCACAGTGGGGTAGCTAAAAGGGAGACCACAAAAGGGGTCTGCCGAAGACCACAGGGAATTTAAAGAGGATGAGTACAAAGGCCTCTAAGTCCTACACAGGATGCTCACCTCATGTTCTTCTCTGTATCTTCTGGAACCCAGGTTACCACCATGTTCCTGACATCTTCGGAGAATGGAAGTTTTGCCTCGTTCAAATTCAACACCGAAAGCTGGAAAAGGTGTCAATGATATGGTACTGAGCACCAGCAGGAGGCTGGGGCCTCAGACCAAATGCTGTGTTGTTATATCCTCTAAAACATTTGATGACTCAGAAAATCATTTTTTTTAATAAAACTTCCTATATCAGATATCAACACAAGTACTTCTCAAATGGGTAGAAGTTTTAACCAATAACACTCCCCACTTCTCCATGACATTACTGTAGAATTTTGGAAAGCCTATCTTACATGAAGGCATCTGGAGGCGACCTTCTAGGAGTACTACTTATTCCTCCACTCCACTGCAAAGGCTTGGATTCCCTGCAGGTAATGCAGCCCACATTTTGGAACCATTTTAGAGTATACTGAGCACAGGTAGTCAAGGTTTCTTTAGTTTCACCCTCTCTATAATTAAAAAAGTCCATATGAGTTAACACGTTAATTTCTCTCACACCTGAGATCACACAGCACGAGGGTTCAAGGAAAACCTGTGAATCATCTAGCCTATATTCTGTTTAAGATTTTTTTCAAAGTTATCAAAAATAAAGTCTTACCCACTGATCAGACTTGGAGAGGTAGAGGCAGAAGGATTTCTGTAAGTTTCAGGCCAGCCTAATATACTAATAAGTTCCAAACCATCCAGAGCTACATTATGAGAACCTTCTCAAAACAAACAAATAACAACAAAGGGGAGAGGAGAGAAGAGAAAAAGAGAGAGAAAAAGAAACAGGACAGAAAATATCAGAATACATCTCCTATGGTGTAAGTAAATTATTCTCTTTTTTACTACAAAATCTAACATTTTTTAGTTGACATATAAAATAATGGGTTCCAATATGACAATTTCATACATGTATATAAAATCCATGTCTAACCATGGATCACAGTTTTTACTTGGAGTCTTAAGTCCCATTTTAAGCCTGGCATTTCAGCAATCTAAGTTCTCTGTTTATAAAATGAGAAGTATTACTTAAAAGCTGAACATGTTCTATATAAGGACAGAGAAAAATCCTCACCTATTTGCAACATTCACAAATAAACTCCTATGTTGCTGGGGTTTCTAAAGACAACGTGGTGTGTGGAGCTATTAGTACAGAGACAGTCCAACATATAGTAAGAACAGCTATTATCGTCCTCATTCCATGACACTGGGGACTGGAGAGACGGCTCAGAGAATAAAGGTCAAATTCCCAGCACCCAGATAGTGGCTCACAACCATCTGTAACTCCAGCTTCAGGGGATCCAATGCCCTCTTCTGGCTTTGGAGTACCAGGCACACACATGGTGCATAGACATACATACAGGCAAAACAACTATACACTGAGAATTAACGTTTTTAAGAAGGAATAATGCCAATGACGAAACACTAATAAAGAGAAAAAAGGTAGAGGAAGCAACTTCTAAAAACTGTGACTTACTTTGGGAGGTCTAGAATGGCTGGTCACACCTTTGTCATATAAAACCTTCCGAGACCTGGAAGATATGAGTTCCAAGAGTGAAACAGAGTCAAAGAGAAAAACAAACAAACAAACAAACAACAACAAAACCAGTGAAATAATAAAGCTCATGCTCTGAAAACCTATCTACTTACTATGAAGGCCTGGGATTTAATACTAACCAAATAAACACAGGTATTCCTACACAGACATTGTACACTGCACTTTACAACTAGGTTTCTCAACCAACTCAGTCCATAGCCTATGCCTTTCTTTCTATAGAGAAAGAGGTACAGCACCTTAAATAACAGTGGATTAAGGGCCAGTAAGATGGCTCAAGAGTAAAAGCACTTGCTGTGCAAGCCTGGCAACCTAACCTTGATCCCTGACACCCACACTGGAAAGACAAAACTGACTCCAAAAGTCATTCTCTGACCTCCACACATGCAGTGTAATGCTCACATGCTTACACACACACACACACAGACACATAAATACCATTTTTTTAAGAGTTATTAAGGTTGGGCACAGAGTTCCATGCTTTTCATCTTAGCACTTGGGAGGCAGAAGCAGGCAGGTCTCTGTTATTCAAGGCTAGCCAGGGCTGCATAGTAAGACCCTGTCTCAAAAAACAGCAGGCACACATGAGAGATAAAGAGAGAGAGAGAGAGAGAGAGAGAGAGCCTGTAATATTTTCATATCATTTGCTCCTTATTTTAAGACATCTTAATCTTATAAATGAAAAAGTAATATGGAGGTATGCAAAGAGTCTACTCATCCTGACTTATGAAGTCTCATGTGATGGAGACCTTAATTTCCACTGGTATTTTCTACAGCTCAATCTTACCTCTGAGCCCACATCATTTCTCCTCTGTTTCAAACTCTCCAAGAATGTCCTCTCACTTGGAGGTCCCTGCATATACTAGTCCTTAGTTTGGAATTTCCTCCCTGCCAGCTTTCCACATGCAAGCCTCCCCTTCAATATGCTGCTCTAATTTCAGGGCTGGAGATCAATGCTCCCTGTGCAGATGACAGTGTCCTAGGTTAGGAAATCTTTCCTGTGCTTCCATAGCCCCAGTCAGCAGTCCTTTTAGGATGCTCCACACTGGATACCCACGACTGCTGGTGTCTTTGCCTCCCAGCTAGGATGAAAGCCTTTGAGCATAGACACAGTCTTATTTCCATGAGATAAACAAAACCCTGCTGTATCCATAACACCCAGTCTGGTGACCCCTACGAAAAACATATCTGTGAGCTACATATGTGACTAATATGTGACTACATATGTGGTGATACCTTGTTTGTACAAATGAAGTGTATCTGAAGATCAGAGGGTGGAGCTTGCCAATAGCTAACCATAGAGGTTTGGAGGTCTGTACAAACAGACAGAAAGTTAGATGGCTGGGCAGAGAAAAGAATATAGGCGGGAGGAAACAGGAACTCAGTCTCTTTTCCGCTGGGAAGCTAGTGAGGTAAAAGTAGCTTTGGCTTACTCCCTCCTTCTTTTCTCTGAACTCTCAGCATTTTCCCCTATACCCAACTCCAGGCTTTTATTATTAAGACCTATTAGAACTCGTGTTACAGCTAACAAATGATGCTGTGACTCCTGCTGTCAAAAGAGCTTAAAATCCAGGGGAGCAAAGAGGACGTAGGGCTGGAACACATGTATAAACATGGCAGGGACAATCGCTGCTGGAAGAACCATCATTCCGAGAATGGTAAGAGGTAAAACTCAGCCTTGACAGTGGAAGAGGCCATATTCACTCATTCATCAGAAACCTGAGCTTCCACCCTGTGCCATGCATTGATGGAGTCGCAGGAAGGCACAGAATGCTAGGAATCTATCCTGGACCCTCTCTCCAGCCCCAGCACTGACATTTTAATGCAGGGAGACTGTGAACTGATGTCCTCACTCTCACTCTCAAAGCCATATCAATCTTAAAGAGTCTGTAAGGCTGAATGGCTGTGTTTGTGGAAAGTTAGGATGTTACAGATCCAGAACCAAACTCTCTTGGCTACCTTTCATTCCTTTTATAACCATTTGTTGTCCAGCTTTATGTCTGACCTAACACGCTGTAATGGTCAGAAACTTTTTGAGGTGTATTAACAGATCATTAGTTGTCACCCACCCAATAGCTAAGTAAGAATGTCATCGTGCAGCATCTGAGACCTAAAACAGAGCTCTCTCCTGCTCTGTTGTAAGTAACCTCTGTTTCAGGACATGGCCACTCATGTTTGGCTCAAGAATGAATGATCTTTTATTCCTTTTTGCTATTGTTATTTGAGACAGGGTTTCTCTGTGGAACCCTGGCTATCCTGGAACTCGCTCTGTAGACTAGGCTGGCTTCAAACTCACAGAGATCTGCCTGTCTCTGCCTCCCAAGTGCTGGGATTAAAGTGTGGTCCACCATGCTCAACTTGCATACCCTTTGAAGTGAGAGCTATATTTTGTGGCAACGAGGCAAAGAGATCAATAAAAGGCTTCTCCGATCAGGATGCAAAGAAAAAGAGGCCAAATCAAATGATGGTCAAGGTGTATATCTTAAATAAGGTGCTAACTGAACTAGATGACAAGGAAGAATTAGCTGCAGGAAGATCTGAGGCAATTTTCTCAGTTTGTCAACTCTGTACCTGCCCCCCCCCCAGGGACATCTGTCAATATTCAGTGTATTTTAGGTTGTCACAGTTTCAGGTGAGGTAGTACTGGCTTGCAGTGGGTACACCCAGGAATGAAGCTCAATGACGCACAGCACAGACCTCAATAATAACTATCTGAACCAAAGTGTCAGTAATGGTGGGTTGTACAACACCAGTCTAGGGAGCAAACTGTAGGGGCATGAGCTGTGGTATAGGAAGTGTGGAGTATGTGACAGACGGAAAGGAAAATATGTCTGGAACCTACTGAACAAGGAAAACCGACACATACAGTAAGGTCCATCAGGAATGCAGGACCTCCTATGGCAGTATAAGCCACTCCAGGGATTTAATGAAGCAGAACAGAGGGAAGGGGGCCTTTAAGGTTGAGAAGGCTGCATGGGCAAAGTGTTAGAGACAGCGGGCCACCATCGGAAAAGCCAGCTGGGCTCCAAGAAAAAGTTGACATCAGAGAACAAGGACCATGACTAGAGAGGAGTCCAGCGATATGAAGGCTACAACTCTAGAGTGAGCAGATGGAAGGAATGAGTTGAGAGAGGAGATGGGCAAAGCATTATTCCTAGAGGCTTAATCTGTTGGTCCTAATGGAAAAGTGTTAGTGAAGAGGCAGGAGAGCACACTCAAGGTCATTCTGGAATAGTCTAGGACAGAGGCTGAGGCAGATGGCAAGAACACAGAAGGAACAGATGGAACAGGAGCTGGCTGGCTGGGGCCCTCCGCAGCACTGGCACATGGCAACTGTGCAGAAGGGGGCCCAGCGCAGGTACCTGGCTGGATGCTGATGCTGTTTTCTCAGGACTCAGGTCCTAGAGAATCAGAGAGTAGTCCTGATCCCTCCTATACTACCTTAAGCCTAAGAAGAAAACAAAATCACCAGATTGCTTACATGGACAATGACTTCAAGGGCAGCCAGTAGTGCTTGAACTCTGGGCAGCAAGGTCTTTGAATTGTAAAAGCTAAGGTTTCCACAGAACTGCAATTTCATGTTTCAGTAGAACTGGAGGCTAGACTTTGCAAGAGATTGAACAAAGGAGCCACTAGGAGCTTAAAAGTAGTTTCATATCTAAAACTAAAAAGTAAAAAGACAGCTTGAACCAGGTACTTGGGAAGCAGAGACAGGTAAATCTATGTAAGTTCAAGGCTAGTCTGGTCTATTTAGTGAGTTTCAGGACAGCTGAGACTATGAAGAGACCTCTTCAAAAATTACTTTTAAAAAGAAAGAAAGACAAAGAAAAGGAAGGCAGATTGCATGTGTTCTCTGATGACCTCCAGAAACTGATAAGGTCACCCCATTACCGGCTAAGTTGTGCCCCAACACCTAAATTTCATTTGTTGAATTCTTAACCCCAGTACTTGAGAATGTGACTATATTTAGAGACAGACTCCTTAAAGAGATAACTAAAATGAGATGAGGTCCTGAGGGTGGGCCCTTATCCAACAGGACTAGTATGTATACAAAATGAGATTAGGGTAAGATAATACAGGAAGACTGAAGGACAAGATGTCATCTCCTAGGAGAGGAGCTAGGAAAAAATAACTAACTCCCTGACCTCAGACTCACCTCCAGAATTCTGTGACAATGAATTTCATTAGTTCTACCACCCCGACAACAGTACAGTCCCATATTACCCTGCTCCTGGAACACACATGTGGCTGTTTCCTTTGGGTTCTCCTCTCTCCATTCATTCCCTACTTAACTTTTAGTATATTCCATTTTGCCATTTTGTTTTTGGTAATACTGGGTGTCAAACTCAAAACCTCATAGGTGCTGATCAAAAGGGTATTATCACTGAGCTACATCCAAGCCCTCAGTACTTTCTTTTAAATCCATCCTTCTCAAAGTCATCTACATGGATAAGAGAAATGTACACCTGGGAGTTGGTGACACAGTCTGCTAAGGAAAGATTATGTGATCACTTACCTGTAATGACACCTGGGAGCTGGTTTCGACAATAAATGCCGCTCCTTAGGGAAGGTAAATTCTGATGATTGTCGATGAACCACCCTATTCTTGGTCCATAAGCAGGTGTCCATGATATTTACAATGGTGAGTGTTGGGAGTTTATCTGAGAAATCAGACCAGAACAAAATGTGTAACCTACTGCCTGGAGAAGGGAATCAAATGAAAACAGCATAAGGACATTGTGAAGAAGACAACAGAGGCTAGCCAACGTACCTTCAATTTCCCGGGGAAATTTGCTAGATGAGTCCAGGATCCTAGGGTGGCCCCTCTCAATCCGTCGGAGAGATGCCCAGCATTGTGGATGTTGACACATTGCTGAGCTGCAGATGGTTTCGTCCCACTGATTGTCATTTGGCAAGTTCATATCTATAAATGGTTTAAGACAAAACCCAATCTTACAGTGTTTTAGCCCTCTGGAGAATTAACAGACACACACTTTGGGGTTATTTTTTAAAATAAATTATTTTTGTAAATTATATATAATGTCCATTGGTGTTTTGCCCGTATGTATGCCTGTGTAAAGATGCCAGAAGCCCTGGACCTGGAGTTACAGACAGATGTGCATTGCCACAAGGGTGCTGGGAACTGAACCCAGGTCCTCCAGAAGAGCAGTCAGTGCTCTTAACCACTGAGGCATCTCTCCAGGCACAATGGGTTATTATTTTTATAGATTAGACAACAATGAAGTCCAGATCTCAATTTGAAATGAAATAATAAACTGTCTGTTGAACCCATGTAAGTCAGTGCTGGTCACACACAAAGATAGATAGTATGAGGCCAAAAGGCAAGTTTGAGAGACTGCCTTCAAAAGCCCTTCTAATTGGATATTTGCAGCTGAGGGACAAGACTTTCCCAGACTGCCTCAGTCTCCTCATCTGTAAAATGACAAGTCTGTTTCAGAAACTACAACAATTAGTTTACAGACAGCCAAAAACTTGCTTAAGGCTGGCTGTGGTTGTGCACACCTTAAATCCTAGCACTCAGGAAGTAAAAGGAGGCTGATCTCCGTGAGACCCTGTCATCTCAAACAACAACAACAAAAAAAAATTGTTCAAATAATTCAAAAATAAATATCAGAGCCAAATGTTCATACATGTAATCCTAGCAGCTCTGGAGGGTGATGTAGGATTAACAGGAACTCTAAGTCAGCCTACGCTACATAATGCTTTAGTTCCAGCATTCTAGCAGGAAGAGGTAGGTGCAGCTCTATGAATTCAAGGCCAGCATGAACGACATAACAAGCTTCAGGCCAACCACGGCCATATAGTGAGACCCCATCTCAAAAAGAAACCAACAATAAAAATTTAAAAGCAGTGAAGTCACAGAAGGGCTATTTAGGTGGCTCAAGCCTTTAGAAGGCATTCCTCACTTTAAAAAAATGCTATTATAAAAACAATCAAAAAAGCTGGGTAGTGATGGTGAACACCTTTAATCCCAGCACTGGGGAGGCAGAGGCAGGCAGATCTCTGTGAGTTCAAGGTCAGCCTGATCTACACAGTTAGTTCCAGGACAGACAGTGCTATACAAACTAAAGCTGTATGCCTGTCTCGACTGGTTGTAATTTTCAAAGATGGTAGTATTTTTATAATGATAAATGAAAGGGAAAGGAAAGGATACTGATATTATCTTTTTCAGTGTGTGTGTAATGCATGTGTGTGTGTGTGTGTGTGTGTGCAGGTATGTTTGACCATACAGATATATATAGAGAGAAGCCAAAAGTCGACACTGAGTGTCTTCCTTAACCACTTCTCTACCTTATTTCTTGAAACAGGGTCTCTCACTGAACTTGGAGATGGCCACTGCAGTTAGACTAGCTGGCCAACAGGCCCTGGGATCCATCTGCCTGTGCCTCCCCAGAAATGATGGTATAGAAATAGTGTCCTCCTAGAAGGCACTACCCTCCCTGTAGGTTGGGAGATGGGATAGGAGGGTGGGAGAACATGAGGGGAGGGAGAGAGGGAGGGAAGGAGAGGGAACTGGGATAGATATGTAAAATAAGAAAAATAAATAAAACATTAAAAAAAAATAAATAAAAGAATGCCTGGCTGTCACATGGCTGTTGTTGAGCTCAACTCAGGTCCCCAGGCTTGCACTTCCACAGCCATCCAGTCAGCTCCCCAGTCCTGGTTTTAATACTTACTATGATTTCTGTGTTTGTGTATATAGACGCCAGAGGACAATTTGCAGGAGTCAATTCTCCCCTTCCACCATGCGGGGTTTGGGGATCATTGAACTCATATTGTTAGTTTTGCTGGCAAATCCTTTTACTCACCAAGCCATTTCCCTAGCCCTACTTTTTTTTTTTTTTTTTTTTTTTTTTTTTAATGTGGGAAGTTTTATTAGGGGAAAGGAATGGAGAGAGGATAGAGAGAGGGAGTAAGAGAGGAGAGAGAGAGGAGAGAAGAGAGGAGAGTGAGAGAGAGGAATCAATATATAAATAGACTTAAAGGATGTAAGTGAAATTTCCCCATCTGGGCTAAGAGTCCTCAAAGAGACATAGACCATCAACCAAAAACCACACTAGGTATGAGAATCCCTCTTTTTAGTTGTTGGTTAGAATTGTCAAGGAACTCCCAAAACAGTATAGGCTATTGCTATTGTCCTTGGTTGACCCCCAAAGGTGGAAGGTAAATCTCTATTACTGAAGACATAATACACTTCAAACACAGGTCTCAGATTAACCTGAAAGCCTCCTCCGTAAGGATTAGCCGAGAAGCCATCAATGATGTTGATGAGCCACATCTATGACCACCGGCACCATGACTCTAAAGGTGAAATAGAGGCATGCATACTTGGTGGTAACCAACAGCTCTCTTAATGAAACGTAAGACCTGCTTAACAAGTGGGAAACCATGCCTGGTAATGGAAGCCTTGTCAACACCACTTAGGTCTAAGAAGTTATGAATTGTGGAGAAGAACCTACAACCACAAATTTACTAAACCAGCATAATCCCTAACTATACTCTAAATATGTGTCCTTATACCCACAGATAAGTGTAGTTCTCACCCCCTCATTAAAGAAACTTCTCATTGAAACAGAGACCAATACTGAAAACCAAATCCAATAAAAATGAGGAGTTATAGAGCCCAGTCTAAGCTGGTACATCTACAACACAATCCCTATACCTAAGACAATAAAGTGAGTTCTAGGACAGCTGGAGCTGTTACACAGAGAAACCCTGTCTCCAAAACAAACAAACAAAAAGAAATGTCAGAAGTGTTGTGGAATATTATTTTAACTGGACAAAAATGTGTTACATGTGCTTATGCTGCAGAATATTACTTTAACTGTGTAAAGGTGTGTTACACTTGTTTGTGCTGCATTTGTTTAATTATGTAAAGATGTGTTGCATCTGTTTCACCTTGCCTGTCTAAGGTACCTGACTGGTCTAATAAAAAAAAAAAAAAAAAAAACTGAATAGCCAATTGTTAGACAGTAGAGGGGTGGGTGGGGCTGGTGGGCAGAGAGAATAAATAGAAGGAAAAATTTAAGGAGAATGGAGGAGAAAGAGAGGCCAGAAGCCAGGCAGCCATCAGCCTGACAGGAGAAGCAGTGAAATTAAGACATACAGAAGGAAGATAGTAAAAAAAAGCCCCAAGGCAAAAGGTAGAAAAAAAGAAACAGGTTAAGCTAAAAAGAGCTAGTTAGAAATGAGCCTAAGCTAGGCCAAGCATTCATAACAATAAACAAACTCCCTGTTCTAAACAGCTTATAATTTCTCCTATATCAAAATGTCTGATAGCACCAGTTCAAGCTAAATAGTGGCTGGAACTAAAGCTTATGACGTCTTTAAACCAGGCCTGTTCTAAGTGTGGAGTTCTTTCCACCACAACAATCACTCAGGACCATTCATCATCCTATCTGCCTTGGTGGGTTGGGTTGGGTTTTTCCCCCTCCTAATAGGGAAATATTTCTTTGTAATTATGTATTCATGAAAAGAGGGAAAACAAGTCTTGGAACATGTTTTAAGGAACAAAAGAGAGAGAGAGGAACACATACAGAGAGCATTAGTTTCTCAGTAAGAATTTTTTCTGTAGTTGATATGAAAATTATGTACCTTAAAACACCATTGAAAATGTAAAATCCTGTAATGACTTTGATGGGAAATATGTACAGAGAATCACTTAATGAATTAAAAACTACAACTTTAACACTTTTTTTTTTTTAATGAGAATGAGAACATGATGCATTATTCTTACAATCAGATGGTTCTCGCCCTTTCAGTACTGGACCAGTCCAGACTGAGTTCCGATGTCTCATCAGGCGTCTCTCGATATCGGCAGCATTACAGCTGTCCTAATAAAATAGTTATTTTAAAAAAAGATTTAAATAACGTTTATCTTTAATACAATTATCATAAAGTTATGAGGGGAATAAGATTAAAGATGGACAACGGTAAATTTGCATGCAATAAACTGGAAGGAAATTTCCACTGAATTCCCAGCCAAAAAGAAAAAAAAAATGAAGGACTCAAGTATCAGTGGTCTGAGATTCCGAGGGATAAAAGCAGATTCCAAAGGGCTCTGTTGGGCACCTCTAGGGACAATACAGAGATTGCGAAAACGCTGAGGATTTGGCCCCGCCCACATCGCCCAAGGGACCCCGCCCACCTCGCCCAAGGGGCCCCGCCCACCTCGTCCGGCGAGGCCCCGCCCATCTCGGCCGTCGTAGTCCGGTCCCTCTGGCTCAGTCTACGCCTTCACCTTTCATGCTAGGCACCATGCCCCCCGTTGCCTAGCAGCGGCGCAGGGTACGATGGGAGAATAGACGGAAACTTCCGAGAGCCAAATTTAGTTTGGTACGAAAGCTCCAATGATAATGACAGTGCGTGGTAAAGGAACGAGCCTGGAGGTGAACGTCGAGGATACAGTATAGGCTAACGAAAACCTCAGTGAGCCGCAACCATTGCGACATGGAAAACTCGGCTACACCGGCGACTTGAGGCGGAGCTGGTGCAGAAGGGAGGCTGTGGTGCGCAAAGCACTGTGGGACACTGGCAACGTGGGGTGGGACGGAAGCCTCCGAGGGTCAGATCTTAGCGACGCGGGAAGTCCAGACACCAGAACTGCCTGAAGAGAAGGCCTGAGGCGGAGAAGGCTCCTGCTCCAGCGGAGGCAATGGCGGAGAGGCCCGAGGACCTAAATCTGCCCAATGCCGTCATTACTAGGATCATAAAGGAAGCGGTGAGCTGCTCGGGCTGGCGAATGGGTCGAGGGCGGACGAGTGGGCAGAAGGTTAACAAGAGCCGCGTGCGTGTTTATCTCCACTCCCGCAGCTCCCGGACGGCGTCAACATCTCCAAGGAGGCCCGGAGTGCCATCTCCCGCGCCGCCAGCGTCTTCGTTCTGTATGCCACATCCTGGTGAGCGGAGCAGGGAGGGAGGCTCTGCGGGATCCTGACCCCGAGTTCGTGGCCCCAGTAATTGTTCCCTGCCTCAGCAGAGAGGGCGACTCACAGCTTTCCATCAGTTCTCGCAAATTCTGATGCAGTTTAAACAGGAAGGTTGCCTTATCCCTCTGTACGGGGAAGGAATGGACTCAGTCGCGTCACAAAAACCTATGAATCTGAGATGCATGTGGGTTTTACCACCCCTCCTCCTGGTGTCTCATGTCCCCTCCCACTGACAGCCTCTGAAGGGCTCTGCTTTCTCTTCCAGTGCCAACAACTTCGCAATGAAAGGGAAGCGCAAGACTCTGAATGCCAGTGATGTGCTGTCAGCCATGGAAGAGATGGAGTTCCAGCGGTTCGTTACACCACTGAAAGAAGCTCTAGAAGGTAGTCACTCACTTTTCAGTTTCTTAAGCCACACGAACGATGGTCGTCCTTAGTCCCAGATCACCTGATTTTAGTAATTCAGTGCTGGTCAGGATTCCACTCTGTTTAGTTGGCCCCACCTCAGACACAAGATGAGGGCCTGGTTAGTCTTCCTATGCCTCAGTTTGTCTAATAAAGCAATAATCTCATCCCTTACAGCGTACAGGCGGGAGCAGAAAGGCAAGAAGGAAGCCTCCGAGCAAAAGAAGAAGGACAAAGACAAAAAGACAGATTCCGAAGAGCAGGACAAGAGCAGAGAGGAAGATGATGAAGATGAAGAAAGACTGGAAGAAGAAGAACAGAATGAAGAGGAGGAAGTAGACAACTGAGTGGAGAGAGTGGGCAGACTGTGGCACCATGGAAGTGACCAACCACCCTGAGATGTTTTTATGCAAGGCCTTTCCCTGCAAGGCCTTTCCCTGCAAGGCAGAGCCATCTTAGGCACCGGTGCCTGAGATCAGAATAAAAACTAACCAGAATGATCCAAAACCAGCTCTTGCCAGGCTCAGAGCATCTGAGTAACAGAAACCTGTTTCACTGAATCAGTCTGGAGATTGTGTTGTGACTTTTTAGTATAAGGGCTTCTGACTGATGAAATAGTTTGATGTCGTTTGTTTACTTAAATATGTGGCTAGCTAGTTTTTGATCCCATTTCCCTCCAAAAAAAGTAATAACTTCCATGTTGCTCGCCTGCTGTGTTTAGGCACTCACGGCTCAGGGTGGGGAAATGGGGCTTTGATCATGGTCACCCTGTTTGATTATACAGTATTTGGCAATAGGTATTAATGGTCAGAATGGTTTCGCTCTGGGAAAAGTCTGTGGGAGGATAAGGTGATCTCTTTACTGGATGGTAACATTACTTGTTTGTTTTCTTTTTGAGACTTAATTAGCTTGCAGCTCTTCTTTGTTGACTGTAGATGTTCAGTTGGCTCGGGTGGCTGCACTCCTATGACATACACTCTTAAATTCTCAGTGTTGATTAGAATCTGTCAGAAAAGGGTGTCAGTTCTTAAAAGCAGGTGGCTTAATCTCAGCAGTAACTCAGTGCCTGCCACTGTAGGATTTAGTGCTACCTCCTGGAAGGTATAAAATCCCAGGTTTTCTCTTCCTTAGTCCATCTCCCTGACTTGTGGCTGCTGCTTTTCATTCCCTGAACTATTGACAAGTTCCAGACTTTATTTCCTCTAGGCACAGCCTTTTCCCTCTCCATCTCTCTCCTGCCTCTGCTTCCGGGCCCCACTTTCTCCTTTTCTTATTTCATCTTCCAGTCTAGGAACTTTGGTGACCCATGCAATGTCCCACAGTGCCAGTTCCTCAGCTTCCTTAGTCCTGCTCTCCTGAAAACCTCTGAACCTTAAGGGAAGTGTAACAGTGCTCAGGAATCTAGCAGCACAGCCACCACTGCTGTGGCTTTGGAAGTGCCTGTTGGCCTTTCCTTTCTCCCCATTTAGTGCTCCAAGCACTTTTTTTCTTAGTTGAGCACTTGAGGTTAAAAAGTAATGTAATATAGTTGGACATTGTTAGCTAGTTGAGTGAATACAATGAAGATTTATTGAAAGTGACAAGACTGTTGAGAAGATTTTAATGCTTTATACAAATAAAGAACATTCTTGTTTAAAATGATGACTCATACAGTGTGCTTTTGGAAAGGGCCCATCGAGCTCTCTCTCTCTCTCCCTGCCTCTCTCTCTCACACACACACACACACACACACTCAATCTGTATCTCCTTGGGTCACCAGCAGGTGAGTGAGCATTTACAACTAAGGGCACTGCTCTTAACCACAGCCCACATTTCCTGAGATTGGCTTGGCTACTCTGTGTATCTCACTGGCTCCCTCTTCATAAGCTCCCCCTGTTCTCTAGCGTTGTTCTAAGTGCTTTCAGGTATTCTCAACTCCTATCAAGCAGCATTGCTGTTACCTTTGTTAGCTCCTAACCACAGCTCTATATTAATTTCTTAATAGACATTGTTCTTAAGTCAGAAGTCAAGTTTATAAATCAGATTTCACAAAGAACCCCAATGGTCATTCAATATCCTTAATTCCCACGAGCAGCCTGCTAAACCTTCAAGTACCATGTGGGCTCCCATGACTTCCTTTGAGCTCAGTGTCCCTTGTGCACAACTTAGCAAATAGATCTTCCTGGAACATAGCTTTGTGTTCTGAGATCAAATCCATAGTTAAACCTGTTATTCAAGGCCTGAGTAAGAGGGGCTCAGCCTGCCATGTAATCTCCACCATAAGGCTGTTCATGTGCCAGTCAAAAATGGAAAGGGCTTAGTAATAGCATACTTGCCTAGCATGTTCAAACAAAACAAAGCCAAATGCTCTTATGTCTTTAGTTCATCCTGCCTGATCCTTTCACTGAACTTTAACTGTCTAAGAGAAACCTTTTCTAGGAGTGCAGATTTGGATTTAAAAGTAAAGAATTCAATATATGGAAAGAATCTTGAGTTCATCCTTCAGCTTTTTTCAGTCACATGTACACCATCCCATAATGGCATCTGGATTTTGAAGGATTTTCAAAGCAGGCTAAAGTAAGTTTCTCCTCTCTTAAGCAGAGTGCTTCATACACAGAGACTAACTTGGATCTGAGCAGTGGAAGGGTTCCTGTTCTAGTTCATTTAAAACTACTTTGAGAATCTGAAGAGATGTCTCAGCAGTTAATATTAATGACACTCTTCCAGAGGACCAAGGATTGGTTCTCAGGACCTACATGGCAGCTAACAACTTCTGCAGCTACAGTTCAAGGGGATCCCATGCCCTTTTCTGGCTTCCTTTCACTGCAGACAAGTGGTGCATAGCCATGCATGCAAGCAAAACATTCACACATAAAAATAAATCTTTTAAAAAATGTTTTTGTGCCCTAGCCCCCTATTTTAATTTATGAGAAGTTGAGGCTTTTTTGAGAAATTAGGGTCTTATAGCTAATTTACGATTACTAAGATTAAGATCCAGTGGCCTTTGGCCTCCTGTTTTTATTTTAGTAAACTTTGCAAATTGTTGGGATAATTTTAAATTTACAGAAAAATTACAAGGAGTGCAGTTCTCATATACCCTTCATCCAACATATCTTCATATTACAACTTTAAGTCCAACTTTTCTAATGAATTTTTAATGACCAAAATGAGATTCACAATCAAAAATTAACCATTTTAAAATGAACATTTGGTGGTGCTTAGGACATTTACAGTATTACACAACCACCCACTCCTACCTTCAAAATGATTTCATCACCTCCTCCCAATAAGCAGTTCCTCCCTAAAGCCTCCCTCCACTCAGGCCCTTACCACCTACCACCAGTCTTTGTTGAGTTTCTAGCCCCAAGAACCTCTCAAGACCCCATGCTCTGATCCTCCACAGCTTAATTTTTGTTTGTTTGTTTCTTGTTATTTTGTCTTTCTGATATGGGGTTTCTCTGTTTAACACCCCTGGCTATCCTGGAACTTGCTTTGTGAGATCCACCTGCCTCTGCCTCCCAAGTGCTGGAATTGCCCAGCTAAATTTTTTTTTAATTAATTGTGCTGTTTGGTTTGTTTTTGTTCGTCAAGACAACATATCACTATGTTGGCTGGCTTGGAACTCACTTGTAGCCAAACCTGACCTCAAATTTGGAGATCCACCTGTCTCTATATCCTAGTGCTAGGATTAAAGATGTATGCCACCTAGTTGGCTCCCTTTGGTCAGATTTTAATGTACTTACTGTAGATAAACTTGATGCCCCATCACATTTGGTTAGTCTTCTTTGTTTTTTTCCTATGTCCACATCTTTCACATCTCTCCACTCGTAACAGATCAAGGGCTGAATAATCAATTACGCTGGAATAAATTTGTCTGCAATGGTCAGACAGTTTGCTGCTGAACTCAACAACTTTAAAGCGCTCAGTGCGAGCCAAAACGGATTTATACGCTGTGTTAGACATTATGTAGTGTTTTAATGTTCTTGACATCCAATTGTTCTTTAAAAAAAAAAAAAATCCAATGAGCAACAGCCAGTGTTTTTTGCTCGAGGCTGAGACCTTCAAGTGAACTCCTGGATGAGTTCGGAAAGCAAGCCAGGGCCCCGCCCAGAGGCTCGGGACTGCCCACATGGAACCCTAGCCTACCCACCTCAAGGGAGGCCCGAGGGGCGGGAGGGGGATGGGCGGGCTCTCGGGCTCCCCGAAAACTCCACGCTGGCCCAGGTTCCAGCCCTCCAAGCGTGGCCCAGGCCGAGCGAGCTGACCCCGGATCCTGGAGCTGCCCCGCAGGGTGCGCAGGCGGCTCTCCCGTGGGGGCGGGCAGTAGAGAGCCGCTTCCGGGTGAGCCGCCCCGCCCCCACGTGGACTTGCGCTTTTAGAGCGGGAGAGCGCAGAGTCGGGAGCAGCGGTTCGGGGCGGCCGGGAGCAGCGTCCTCGGTAGGTGAGCGGCCCCGGCCTCTGGGAAGTGGCGGTTTGGGAGGGCGACTCCAGGACGAAGCGAGGTGCATCTCCGATGGCACTGTGCTCCCGAAGCTCTGACGCTTCAGCAGAGACGCAGTCCCGGTGCACCCTCTATAGAGTGGGCAGAATCTCGCCGCTACATTGCTGCGTCCAGGCTTGGGGATTCAAAGCTGGGCTCCACCCGCCTCCTTTCTCCGAGGCCGCAGGGGTAGTCTCGGAGCGCGAGCTGTCTAGCAGGCTAGAGAATTGGGGGGAAAACAGTGAGAGTCGCATGTCCAGGGTGTCGACAGCCTCTGCTCATTCAGTCATTACAACAACCCACTGAGGTCAGTTCAAGCCTCAATTTACCACACGAGAAGACAAGAGGTCAAGCAAGAATTTGTCTCCAAAGTCACACACAACCCTCCTGCTACCAGCAGTAGCCAGGTCTAGGTCATAACTCTTCCCTCCCTACTCTCTTGCCTGGAGCTCTCAGTAGGCTCATCTCTGCTGGGAATATAATGTATGAACTCTGTTTGTCTAGTGTCAAAGGTCGTGGGCTGTTGAACTCCCGAATTTTAGACCATATTTACAGCTAACCAGCTGTATGATCTCTATTCATTACCTGTCTTTCTCAGAGTTCAGTTTTACCATTGTTTGATGTAGAAGCTCTCAGCCAGAATCTTCTAGCAATCTGGGAAAGGCAACTCCTAGCTTGAAATGGCTAAACCCAGCAGACCTAGTTAGTTCTTTGTCTGCTTCTTCCTTCTAACACTGTGGCAGGTGGTACACAAGGCTATTCAGGAAATGCAAATGGGCTACCGGGCAATTCCTTTTCAGAACTGCCCACAGTTGCTTTTCCTGGGCCTTTTTGAAAATTGCTTCAGGTTTCCCAGCCTTGAACCTTCTACCTAGCTGGCCCTCCTTGTGAGTCTCCTCCCCAGCCCGTGCAGAGCCTGCCAGAGTTGGCACCAGCTCAAAACTATCTATGCCAAGAGCACAGCCTCTGGAATCCTCCATGAGGCACAGCCTGGGAGCCCAGGCCCTGAAGCTCTTTCTCAGCCACTGAGGGTGGCAGCAGTCACTCCCAGGTTGGGAGATCTGCCACTTAACGAAGGTGAGACCTCTGTAGTCTATCCCGCAATGTCTCCATACCCTTCAGTGGTCATTTTTCTTCCTGTCTGGTAATATCCTGCTGGAGGGCTCCTGTGTTCTCTTACCGCAGGCACTGGGTTGACTGTATATCCTTCCTCAGGTACAGTGCAGGGTCGCGAAGTACTGTTTACTCATCCCAGCTCAGCATTAGCCATGTATTTAGCATTACTGTGCTGCTGGTGTGGTGGCTACATACCTCACCATTATCTGATCTTCTCCACAGTTTACTGGCGTGATAAGATCAGCACATTTTAGATTTTGAAAAAAGGGATCTAAAAGGCCTTGCCCAAAGATATAGAGTCAACGCTGGGGCTGTTTGAGCCAGAAACAGTACTTCCTGCACCACTTTGTACAGCTTGCTAGCAAAGTGAAGCGGTTTTAAAATGGGGGAGAAGGTGAGCTGAGCCCCTGTGATCGTGTGTGTATTCCTGTTAGTATGAGACATGGGATTTAAGCTGAAGTTTGCAAATTCCCCTAATCCCCTGTTTGAGAATCTTCCAGACGCAGAAGGATTTCTCTCAAGGCCAAACCCTGATCTAGAATTAGTTCTATAAAATAGAAGCAACTCCAGGCTGCTTTCCACACTGGACTTTTCATTGAGTACCTGCTGTAATAGACTGTGGAGTATAGGAAGTAGGAGCCTCACCCACTGTGAGCTCAAGTCCTGTGACCTTCCTTTCATCCCTTCACTTTTCCTATCAAAATGTGAAGGATTGAATAGAACTCTGAGACATCTCTCAGAGGTTTTTTTTTTTTTTTTTTTTTTTTTGGTGACCAAAATAGAAACCTAAACCTGGGCAAGAGATGTCTCAGTGATTGAGTCACCTGGGTTCAGTCTTGTTCCCACATAGTGGCTCAACAACTAATTCTAGTTCCAGGGGACCCCACACCCCTTCTGTTACAAGATATTTGATTACACTATAAAGATATGTCACTGTAATTGGCTTAATAAAAAGCTAAAAAAGCCAGTAGCTAGGCAGGAGGTATAACAGGGACTTCTAGACAGAGACAGCTCTGGGAAGAGATAAGGCAGAGTCACCAGCCAGACACAGAGGGAGCAAGACATG